TGAATCTGCATATTCATGCACGTGAAGTCACTACTCGGACTTTGTGTTGTACATTTCATTTTAAAGAGATGACACTGACGTTTTGCCCATTAATGACAAAACAAAAACATGGTTTTAGAATTTTTTTGCAATCTTATTAAAAATCAAAACCTGAAATTTGTCATTTACAAACGTGTTCAGATCTTTGCTGCGGCTCCAAACTGTGCTCAGCTTTATTTCTCCTTGTCTAGAACAGTTCACACTGTCACAAACCAAGGCCTGAAGTCCAAGTAGCTCTCTCGTGTCTCCCTCCTCTCCCCCGTCTGCCAAACATTTCCTGCACTGTTGGACAAAGTGAAACGTTTTGAATTGTCGACAGGCTCCAACATCACAAGCACAGCTTGGACTTTCCCTCCAGCCCTCCACAGACAGAGGACAGAAGCTTGTTGGGCCAATCCATCCAACATATATTTCACTGGATAAGTGAAAATCCGGGCCATTCACACTGTCCCGTTAATCAGCCTGAGTGCTAATGCAGCATTACAGCATGACATTTTGTTTTGTGGTGACCTTCTCCACAAGCACTCAGCTGAGTTGGTCCTGGCAACAGACTCAGCTCAGTGTGTTACAGTCACCAAAGAAACACAGGATCTGGTTTCACTCACTCCTCAATACGAAGTCAGCCTTTCCTGGAAGCACACTGCTGCAGTGCTGTTGATCTATACAGCTCAGCGTGTGTGTGTGTGTGTGTGTGTGTGTGTGTGTGTGTGAGTGAGAGAGAGAGAGAGAGAAACTGTCAGCAGACGTTTGAGTCTTCAGGAGAACATGTTCCATTAGAGCAGACTCTGTCAGTGGTAATAAAATACTCTAAAGCACGACAGTACTTCCCATCTTGTGAACTCTCTAGAGTCCACAGAGACTGGGCACGTGTGTGTGTTGTCAGTGTGTGTGCTGTTGGACGAGCACTAAGATTATCTGCAGGGAAACAACACTGTGAAGTTCTAACTGACCGCACTGCTACTGCAGACACACACATTCATTGTGGTCATATTCCTAATTCACGGCGTCTGACATCAGCGAGGTGGTGACAGCTCACAGCGGCCGGCCCTCCGTCACCGCCTCGGTTCAGTTCACTGAGCTTTACTGTAATGATTCACAGCACATTAGTTCAGGGGCTAAAGGATGTTTGTGTGCTGCTGCAGTGCTCTGGTCAGCATCCCTGCACTGACTCACAGCCACAGGCTGAGAAACATAGGGCTGATAGACTGATAGCCCCTGGGGGGGGGCACCACAGTCTGTCAATGTAATAACGTGTGTAATGTCAGGTAGATGAGCACAGCTGCAGCAGTGTTATAAGGACCTGGGGCCCGTGTTGAAGCGCAGAGGAAAGTGCGACTGAAGTTTAATAACCAACAAACATATTTCTGATCTACAGGCACGGAGTCTTCTGCAGCCAAATCGCCTTTCATTTCCTCGAAGAACAGTTTGACCTGAAAGCCTGTAACAACCCCTCACTTTCTCCTCGGGCTGCTCAGAGGGACAGGTGCAATTTACAAACACCCTCTCCTTCCTCATGTGTTCTTAACGGCGCGACGTCTCAGCTGAATAAGAGCAAATTTTAAACCTGCGCTCCCCTGACCATCATCAGCCGCAGCGATCAGTCTGTGGTGCTGAGGGAATTTGTATACATTTCCACTCTCTGCTCCCTTATTTGGCCTCCCTGAACGGGAACACATTAAAATACATATTACATGAGACCAAACACAAACTTCCTGCAGTGCCAATTTTCCTTTTTCTGGTGCAAAACCCAACTGCAGCTCCTTGGTAAAAAAACAACACACAGTTTCAGTGTTTAGGGCCACAAACCTCGATAAATACCCTTCAGTGGTCGACTGTCCTGGATGTTTGAGGCATTTCAGTCCGTCAGAATTTAAAATACGTCACGAAGGAAGGGATTTTGAAAATATAAAAGAGAAGGAATGATCTTCTTAGAGACTTCTGAAATAGAGAAAACTGACATGAGGCAGGTGTGAGGTAACAAACAGCCTGATGTATTCTGACAGAGTGATACCTCACATTAAAGTGATGAGAAACTTCAGCGCGTCACCTCAGTGTATGTTTCCAGGTGCAGGAAACTACTGCATATGTGGAAAACACCACCAAATTCCTTGTGTGTAACATACTTGGCCAATAAAGGTGATTATCCTTATCCTTAAAAAGGAGGGGAAAGCCGTTGTGTGTCACAGGGAGCTGTGCCAAACATCCTCAGGTGGATGTGACGACTACAAGTGTGAAAGGCAACAGAAATGTGGGTGGAGTCAGGCAGCAACTGTCTGTGGCCCACTCATCTGCTGCAGGGACCAGGCTACATTACTGATGACTGTATGAAACAACACTGGACACGAGCACAGCTTTAACACGGAGAACGTCATCACGCCGCATGTCAAAGCGCCTTCCTAGGCCAAGGGTACCGTTGTCTGTTCCATTAGACTTGTATAATTGGATGTGTTGGACTGGAATTAGTCCACTTGTCACTGTGCTGTGACATCCACACGTGATCACAGCTCACCGTGACTCTGCAGCACTGAGCTGGTGCACCGAGTTGGTCGTCTTCCTCTCTGTAGCTAAAGGCGGCAGACACCATCTCAGGTGTGTTGTGTTAAAGGACCAGCAGCAGAGGAAGACACTGTGCTCCCCAGCTCTGCTAGCACTGCTGCCACAGGACGACTCCATCTCCTACAAGTTCTGCTCCTAAACCCCGTTGGTGACTTGCCTCCAGGATTATTGTTCTTGTTCCTGGCCCTGCACAGAAGCAATAAGCGGACACATGGCCATGTAGTGCAGCGATGCTTTGCACTATGTTATGAACAGGACACTCTACATCTATGAAAACTCCTGTGTGGATTAAACAGGACTCTTATTTTGCTGGGAACAGATATGCCTTGCTTCCTTCTGCGCTCTTCATATCGCAGTAACACGTGGATACATTTACTCAGTAGGTTTCAGGTAACAACTGGACACGTTCCCACAGAGGTGGAAAGAGTAATAAAGTAAAAGTACTGTTACTTCAATGAAATGTTACTGAAGTACAAGTTACCAGACAAAAAATCTACTCAAGTAAAAGTAACTCATTAAAAACTTACTGAGTAAAAGTAACTGTTACTTTTTTTAAACAGCAGAGATTCTAGTATAGTTCAAAAAGAGACAAGGGGATATAAATCTCAAGACTGTTTTTAATTTAAGGAACACCTTTACAAATTAAAGTGCAATAATAGAATTTAATTTAAAAAAAAGAATAAAAACATACATTTTAAACATTAAGGGAGATAGTAAGTCCAGTGCAGATCATCCCGTAAAACATTTTAAACAATACAACTTTTGAATATTGCATAAACTGTGCATTCAGTAGAGCAGCCTAGTGATAGTTCAGTAGTTTAAGGGGGCGTGTAAGAGGTATTTATGCCTATCCAGTGTATTCACTGCAGCAGACAGTGCTCAGCACTCTCCCTGTTTGAAAAAGCATTAAGGTATATGTAGACAGCATCAAAAACATTTTCCCCAGGTTTCACAGACCAGGCCTAAGGTCAGTCCCAGACTAAAAAGAATGTTTGAGCTGTTACAAAAGAAAATAATTTACACTGACATATATTAAAATATACCAGAGCATTATTTTTCCTAAGACTTTTTTTAAATTTTTTATAAAAGTTACTTAAATATCCTGATTTAA